TAATTAATAACAATATGTACATATTATTTAAAAATTTTCAATAAATATACTCGATAAATGTGTTCCAATACATTTATTAATTTTATTTCGTCGCTGTTGCCATTTTAATTTTCATTTTAACATTGATTCATTGATCGTAAAATATCAAAAAATCTTTGCTACAGAAACATTAAGTTAAATTATTATAATTAATGAACAAAATAAATTTTAATAAATAATATCAACTGTATATATCTTTCTTTCTTTTTTTTTTTTTTTTTTTTTTTTATCTTTTTACACTAAGATTAAGAGTTTTAAACAAAAGAAAGAAAGAAACAATTCGAAGAACAAAAAGCAAGTATTATTAATTTTAAAAATTATCCATTATCATTAAAATTTATTTAGTGAATGTACAAAAAAAAATTCATTCATTCAAATTATTTCATTTTATAACTTAATAAAAAACAAAAGAAAATGCAAATAAGTAATTTGAAAATATTATTATTATTATTATTTTTTATGTTTAATGTGAATTATATATTAAACATTAAAACAATTAAAAAAAAAAAAAAAAAAAGAAAAACAAAAATTAAATATTTCATTTAAAAAACTGGATAAAATAAAATTTAAACGATTATAAGATTAGTTGTAGTCGAAAATTTTTTCGATAATATAGATATTAATTAATTAATAATTTAATAAATAAATAAAAAAAAATTTTAAATTGATCAAGATATAAAAAAAATAAAATTGTAAAATGCAAGTGCAGAGTTTAAGCCTATCCAAGACCTAGCCCCGATTAACAATAATCTATTAATTTATAAAATAAATGAATAAATGTCTTTTACAAATCGAGTACTTACTCTTCATATGCCTCTGTCATGTTTTGAAAAGTAGAATATTCTACTTTTGCCCCATTTCGAATTTATTTTCACCATTTTTGAGGCATAAATGATACATCAGCCTATACTTGCAAAACACAGGAAGTAGGCCTAGGGCCTAAGGTTTCTTCACTGGCTCTCACTGTCTCATTCATATGTTTTTCCACAGAGTAAATAAATTCTTTTCTCTCATTAATTTTTACATTGATCGTTTACGGATCAATTTATTTTAAAAAAAATAAATTCAAACGTTCACAAATAAGTTTTTACCTATCGAATTATTTTTTAAAATGTATAATTAATTTAATTTTATTAAAATAAAAATTAATTTATGAACAAATATAAAGATCGATAAATGACAATTTTGTTAGTTCCTTACCTAGCCACAGGGACTATGGCTCTTTGATGCATAGTAAAAAACCTCGTTGGTCAACAGTTCGTTATGAATGATTTCAAAATTTATGAATGATTTTTAAGTTCATTATAAGTTTTATTTTAACCGGAATTATTTTTATACATTTTTTAAAATGAAGTACGTCTTAATTTACTTAAAAAAATTGAAATTTTTTTTTATTTTTTTACGGTTTTGTATTATATAATAACGATTTTAATTTTTATTTGAGGTTTTTCTGAGGAAAAATCCTTTACAATGCCGGCTTTCAATAATAAATTTAATAAGCTTTTTACATATTCTTATTCCAATAAACATTATAAAACTGATTATTTCTACCTCTAGTACCTGAAAATTTTAATTTTTTAAAAAATTTTTAATTACTTTTAATTTAAAAACAAACAGTATTTGACAATTTTCCTTCATACAAATTATTGAATGAAAACGATTTTTATTCATAAATTCTAAGATCGTACTTTTTTATTTTCACAGGTTATGCGTTGATGGACTTCTTGTTTATTTTCCATACGATTATATTTATCCTGAGCAATATGCTTATATGATTGAATTGAAAAAAGGTTTGGATGCTAAAGGACATTGTTTACTGGAAATGCCTTCAGGGACAGGAAAAACAACAACATTGTTATCATTGGTTGTTTCGTACATGTTAACATATCCTTTGGATGTCACAAAATTAATTTACTGTTCAAGAACTGTTCCAGAAATAGAAAAAGTTGTCGAAGAATTAAGACTTTTGTTTAAATACATAGAACAAGAAACTGGAAAAGCTACAAAAATGCTCGGTTTAGTTTTAACATCTAGGAAAAATTTATGTATTCATCCTGAGGCATGAATTTTTTTTATAAGATCAATTTATTTTGCTTTTATTTAACATTTAAATAATTTGTTAGACTCATGAATTAATTAAAATTAAAATAAAATTAGGTGAGCAAAGAAAGAGAAGGAAAAGTAGTCGATGGACGATGTCACAGTTTAACTGCATCATACATCAGAGAGCAACATAGATATAATAAAAGTGTACCAATTTGTGATTTTTATGAAGGTTTCGATTGTTTTGGAAGAGAGGATTCGGTAATGCCGGGAGCTTACAGTATTGATGATATAAAAAATTATGCTCAAACCAAAGGTTACTGTCCATATTTTCTTGCTAGGCATTTAGTAAGTACAAAAAAAAAATAAATAAAAATGAAGAAAAAAAGAGAAAACTCTACCTAAATTTTTCATTAACGAAAAAAAAAAAAAAATTTTAGATTGCACAAGCCAATATTATAGTTTACAGTTACCATTATTTATTAGATCCTAAAATAGCAAATGTTGTATCAAAAGAATTAACAAAAACTGCTGTCGTGGTATTCGATGAAGCTCACAATATAGGTAATTTTTAATAAGGATAATTTAAATGAGTTTTAATTTAAATCAATATGTAAAACTTTTTTAAATTACAGATAATGTTTGTATTGATTCGATGAGTGTAAAAATTCATAGGCGTACCATTGATAAAAGTACCCAAGCAATTCAAAGACTGGAAAAAAATATTGCCGAGTAAGTTCAGTTAATTATCTGTTGTAACTTGAGCTTTAATAAAATTCCTTCATTTTAATTACAAAAATTTTCAGAATAAAGGAATCTGATGCCAATAAATTAAAAGAAGAATATAATCGTTTGGTTGCTGGTTTAAGGGAAGCAGGAATAGCCAGAGAAACAGATTTAATATTAGCCAATCCGGTTTTACCAGAAGAAATTCTAACAGGTACGAATCACACAAAACTTGAATTTTACAAAAAAAACATGTGGGAAAAAGTTTATAAATTAAAATTTTTGAATTTAGAATCGATACCAGGAAACATTAGAAATGCTGAACATTTTATTAGTTTTCTTAAAAGATTTGTGGAATATTTGAAAACAAGATTAAGAGTTCAACATGTCGTACAAGAATCACCTGCTTCATTTTTAAAAGATGTGTATGGTAAAGTTTGTATTGAAAGAAAACCGTTACGTTTTTGCGCCGAACGTTTGTCATCATTATTGAGAACTTTGGAAATTGCGGATCATACAGATTTCACATCTCTTGTACTCGTAACTCACTTGGCCACATTGGTTTCTACATACACAAAAGGTTTCACTATCATAATTGAACCTTTTGACGATAAGGCTCCCACTGTACCAAATCCAATATTGCATTTCTCGTGAGTATTCAATACAAAATTTGTGATGTGATTAATCGAGTGAAAAAGTCATAAATTAAACTTTCAGGTGTCTCGATTCCTCAATAGCCATGAAACCAGTTTTTGATAGATTTCAAAGTGTGGTCATCACTTCAGGAACTCTTTCTCCATTGGATATGTATCCTAAAATTTTAGATTTTCATCCGGTTATCATGGCTTCTTTTACAATGACATTAGCTAGACCTTGTTTGCTGCCAATGGTAATTGTTACAATTATTGAAAAAGGTTTAGGTTTAGGTTTTGACTGCAAACTCACACTTTAATTTTTTTTTTGTAGATTGTTTCTAAGGGTAATGATCAAGTGGCTATTTCCTCACGTTTTGAAACAAGAGAAGATGTCGCGGTCGTGAGAAATTACGGTCAACTATTGGTAGAAATAAGTTCGGTCGTACCTGACGGTGTCGTTTGTTTTTTTACATCTTACTTATACCTGGAATCAGTGGTCGCAAGTTGGTACGATCAAGGGGTGCTTAATAATTTGCAAAAGCATAAATTACTATTTATAGAAACTCAAGATGCTGCCGAGACAAGTTTAGCACTGCTTAATTACATAAAGGTAAATAAATTTTAAAAAATTAACCTGCGTCTTTTCCTTCCTTCCTCGATATTTAAAGAAATTTTCCCTCAGGCATGTGAAAGTGGTAGGGGAGCAGTGTTACTATCAGTTGCCAGAGGAAAAGTATCCGAAGGTGTAGATTTTGATCATCACCTTGGCAGAGCCGTTTTAATGTTTGGTATTCCTTACGTGTACACTCAATCACGTATCCTTAGGGCGAGGCTGGATTATCTAAGGGATCAGTTTCAAATAAGGGAAAACGATTTTCTTACGTTTGACGCAATGCGTCACGCAGCTCAATGCGTGGGAAGAGCTTTGAGAGGTAAAACAGACTACGGTATAATGATTTTCGCAGATAAGAGATTTTCCAGGAATGATAAAAGAGGAAAACTTCCAAAATGGATACAGGAACATTTAAAAGATAATTTATGCAATTTGTCAACGGAAGAAGCCGTACACATGTGTAAAATTTGGTTGAGGCAAATGGCTCAAGATTTTACTAAAAAAGATCAATTGGGAGTGTCACTTCTTACACTCGAACAACTCAACAACGAAGAAATATATGAAAAGATTCGACAACAAGCTCATCAAATATAAAAATATACATAATATATATATATATATATTAAAACACAATTTAAGGTTTTCGATTAATCATCCAAAAAAAAAATTCCTATTTAAACCTTTATTTCATAATACATATCGAGAAAGGAAAAAAAAATTTGAAACGAATCTTATTCGATATCAATGATTGAGCAAACAATAATCAAATAATTTGTTTAATGATTTGTCATAACAATATATATATACATAATTTACACACATGTTGATAGAAAAATTGTTTTTACTAAAATTGAAAAAATAATTTTGTTTTTGAAAATTTATTTATCAATGAGGTTTGGGTTTGTGACCATCGACATAAAAATTTCTAGTCGCCTGTGGTAATTTCACTTTAATTCCATTTAATTCTTTAGTTAAAACAATTTGACACCCTAACCTTGAATTTTCTTTTAAAAATGGAGCCATATCTAATAAATCTTCTTCTTTTTCTTCGGGTGTTGGTAATTTTTCTAAATAATCGTCTAACACGTAAACATGACATGTTGTGCATGCTAATGATGCTTCACAAGCTCCTAATCAATCCCAAATCATTTAATTATTATTATTATTATTATTAGTAGAAATAAAGTATTTATTATAAATTGTTAATATAATGTTGATGTTAAATAAATTAAAAACTTACCTTCCATTTCAATGTTATGCCTGTGAGCTAAATACATAAGATTATCACCTATTTTTCCTTTAACTTGAGTTTCTTTACCATCTTTGTCGATATAGGTTATGTTAACTCTGAAACAAAAATTTATAAAATTAATCATCTCGATATTCAAAATAACTTTTAATATTAAATGTTAAATGAACTCTATTATCCATTAAATATAAAGAAAAAGTCAAATCAGAACATAAAAATTTTACATAATAATACTTTTAAGAGGAAATAATTTTTAAGAAATTGTAATTTTTACTTCTTTAAATACAATTACATAGTGCCGACTTATATTTAATGTTTTTTTTTTTTTTTTTTAATAAAATGTAGAAAAAAATCCAGACATTAAATAGATTATTTATTATTTGACATTTTTAGGTTAGGAAAATTTTTTACCTTTACATAATTTGTTTTTAACAAATGAAGGTAGACGCCCAAAATTTGTGCCAGTTTATATAGGTTTAAAAAACTTACATTTCATCTGGTGATTCTGGATCTTTCCATTCATATTCACCATGCAATAAACCTAAAAATAACAAAAAAAAAAAAAAATTATTATTGTGTGCATACAAGTCAAACAAAAATAAATTAAAAATGTCTAATAATAATAATAATAATAATAATAATAATAATACAAACAATTTGTAAAATGTATTTGTTTAAAATTAGAAACGGGATAAAATTTAAATAAAGAAGGTAAAAATTTTATAAATGAAAATTTAAAATCACAACAAATATTAATTAAATTTACCGCCATTTTGAAAAAATTTTTTTTCGTGACATTGTAACAGCTGATGAAAAATAAAAATGTCTTATTATTATTATGAGTTGAAAAAGTTATGTTAGGAATTATTTTATATATAAAATATTTTGATGGAAAAAGAATTGAAAAAATTATTTTTACGATATTTTTCATAACATATCTGGGCGTTCGATATAATTTATTTTTTATTGTGAAAAATTGTCCCGAATGTTATGATAATAATTTGTGTCATTTTTTTAAAACAAATATAATTCAATTAAACTGGTTTAGTAGTTTGTTATTAATTTTCAATCCGAAATTAACAAAATCTGTTTTTTATGGTACACTCAATAAAACGGAATTAGTCGTTGTAAAAAGGAAAACGAGTAAAATAAAAGAATTCAATTTGAAAGAAAATAATAATAATAATATAAAGTACGTGAATAATGATTTAAGTAACATTATTTTATGTCAAGGATTTGATAGTTTACAATTATTATATAAAAATGTTGTCGAATCAGTTAAAAAAAATCAACTTTGGTCATTTCTCGATGTCAGTATAGAACCTTTGTTGATGTTGGTAAGATGCTTTTATAAATAAGTTTGAAAATTTATGAATGTTAATGTAATGGATGCCTTTAATTTTTTTTAAAAGTATTTTCAGTCTCTAGGAAAATCAGGTTTTCCTAAATACATTGGCGCATGTGGAGATTTTTTAGTCGAAGAATATAAAGGATTACCTTTGGATAATTTTTTGTCATGTGATTTTAAAACGAGAGCATTACTCTCTATTAAACTTTTAAATTTGGCTAACTTTTTTACATTTAGCAGTTCGGATTTTATATTTTACTTCACTGATATTTCCCTTTATAATATTGTTGTCGATGAACATGGAAATGTTTCGCTGGTTGATTTAGATAATGTTATAATATTTGATAAGAAAAGTCAAAAAAGTAGTTCAGGTAATTAAAACTCACATCACACAATCATCGACAATATAAAAGAATATTAAATTACTATATTTACATTACAGTAAAAGCTAAAATTCATAAAACTGAAATATGGAATGATAATGATGATGATTATTCATTTTCCTCATCGGACATTTGTAGCCATTATTTAAGCGATCACAATTATTACTCGATATGCACGGTAAACGAACTTGATTAAATTGATTACGAAGAATTTGTTAAATTTTGTTTTATCGTACAACCGTCAAAATTTCAGCATATTTTATCACATTCCGATTATGGATTGTTAAAAGAAATCCCTCGAACGATTACGAATTTAAATCCAGATTTGGAATTTTTATTAAACGAATGTAAAAAACCAACGAAAATTAACGATCGCGTTACCGCTGGTGAAAAACTTGCAAAACTTTTAGAAAAAATAACGGTCGGATACAGTTGGCAACACTTCATTTAAAACTACTCGAAATTTAAAACTGTAAAAAAAAAAAAAAAAAAGTAATTTTATTAATACAAACCTTTTTTATTTAATTAAAATGAATTTATCGCTTTTTTCATTTTAATTTTTCTTTAAATATTATTTTAAATCAAACTTTTAAATATATATATATCGGACGAAAAAATAAACAAAAAAATATTAATAATAACTAATACAATTGTATATAAATGTAGGTGCCATTTTGTTTTTCATTAAATATTAATAATAATAATAATAGAAAAAAGTAAATTTATTCAATTATAGTTTATAATATTTAAAAATATATCATATAAAAAGTTTAAAAACATATATTGAAAAATGTCACTTTAAAATACAATAAAAATTTTAATTTTTATTTTTGATAATTTAATATGATTTTGAAAAGAAATAAATGAAACAAACATTTATTCGTAATTATTATTATTATTATTATGTAAAATTATTAATCCGTACATTTTATTTATTATTAAAAAAATTATACAAAATTATTATTTACAACCTAATAATAAATTGATGTTGAGAAAACAAAAATTATTTAAAAGCCAATGGCACAATATAAAAAATTTATTAGCTGCCATTTTGAATACCGAAAAAAAAAAACGTTAATGACGTCATCATTGACGTCATTTAAATATTTTGTTCGTCAGCAAATCTTTTTCAATTTTTTTTTTATAAATAATACTTAATAAATATTATTATATGGGTATATACATTTTTTAATTGCCTTATATATTTGATATTGATTTTTTTTTATGATGCTTCTTAACAAAGTACCAAAAGCAAAAAGAATTTTGGTATCAGTCTTACCCCCTCCCCCGCGTCCCGGGGGAGAAAAATCACTTCGTATGGTATTTTAAATTATACGATAAAAATAATACATGATACACACACTTATTTATTTTAATAAAATAATAATAATAATAATAATAATAATAATAAAATTATTAAAATATTTTCCTTATATCTAATTTTTCGATACTCTCTTTTCGAACCTTAAAAAATCAATTAACACTTCATCATCATCATCATCATCGATAAGTATTAAAATAATAATAATAATAATAAATAAATAAAGTTTTCAGGCAAAAAAAAAACGTTTGTTTCAATGTGTGTGTGTTTGTGAATTATAAATATAATTTATTAATATAGTGATGACTAGTTGAAACTTTCAACAATTTTACAAAAAGAAATGTTTTCAATAATTAATCAATCAATCAATCAATCACAACCAATCATGTCACGAAATTTTTTCAAAAAATTAAAACTAAATCAATTTTATTATTATTATTATTATTATTATTATTATTAAGTGTTTAAATTGCGTTCAACTCCGAGAATCAGATTGAAAGATTTACATGAGCAATTCTCCCTTATTCTTTAATTTTATTAATTAATAACCTTTCAAACCGATTTATATGATACATAAATAATATTTTGTTCCCTTATCCGATCAGTAATTTTCCTTTTAACATTTTAATTTTCATTCTAATTAGCTGCTTTAATATAATAATAATAATAATAATAATAATAATAACCTTATTAATAATTTAATTAATAAAAATTACTCATCATCATCATCGTGGGAAACTCTCCCTTCCTTCCATCCTTCTTTGGCCATATTATAAAACTATAATTAATTTTATATAAAAATTCAATCGTTTAATAATAATAATAATAATAATAAAATTATTAATTATATATGTATATAAATTCCATTAAAAAAATGCATTAAAAAAATGGTATTGAAAAAAAAAACCTACTACGAAATTGCTAAATATTTATAGTGTCATCATAATGGCTATCATACGATTATTAGTAAAATAAATACAAAATCCTTAACTGATAATAATAATAATAATTAGTAGTAATAGAAGTAGTAGTAGTAGTGTAGCAGTAGACTAGTCCAGTGTTCCAGATGTGGAATTTAAATCGGGCAGAGGGCAAACAACGTATTGCTTCTGACGTCCACTGGTTGCGTATGAAGAAGAAGAACACTTTAATACATTTGCCCGCTGCCGATCAAAAAATTAAACTTGAGGACCGCCAGGTTTTGGTAGAGGTCGAACAAGGTATAATTTTTCTCCTTGTTTATTCGTGTAAATGGGAGCTCTTTGATAATGATCCACGAGTTGATCGAGCGTGTGAAATTTTCGTTGTCCTATGCAGTACAATGCTCCTTCGACGTACACCCTGAAATGCTTGTTACGACCCGGAGCTTTTAAAGACACGGAATAATCTCCCACCTGACAATACAATATATTATTATAATAAAAATAGTCATAATAATAATAATAATAATAATAATAATAATAATAATAATGAAATCAAAGAGTTCGTTAAATGCTCTCACGTTTGTTTCGCTATCACGAATTAAAAAGTCTCCGTCGTGACCGTGTTGATTTAGTACGCTGTCGCAATGAGCTCTCGTTATATTACCATAATACCAAGGTTTTCCGATCAAATGAGGTCTGTCCATACCATCCGGTGGGCGTCTGTCCATTGAATCGTGTCTCTCGGCATTTCCCCCGACTCCTCTGTCTCGGAAAGGCTGCGTGAGATATTCACTCAATTCCTGATTTATGTCATTTAATAACATTCACATAATATTCCATGCAAATTAAAAAAAAAAAAAAAAAAATGAAGAACAACAAAAAATTTACAAAATGATTTTCGATGAAAAATAATAAATAAAAAATAAAATAAATTAAACTTAAATTAATTAAAATAAAAAAACAAAACCGACGGGTGCACTTGTACACAATTCCCAACAAACATCGTAAATCTCACCTGTAAATAATTCCTGGGAACTAATCCTATTTGGCCTTGTGCATTTCTCGCTTTATACCATTCTGGATCAGCGGGGGGACGATCCAATATTTCTAGTCTATCACCTTTTTCAAATGAAAGTTCTTGATCGTTATTTGAAGAAAAAGAATATAAAGCCACTACAATATCCAGAACGTTTTCTGCCATGGCATACGTGTGAATCCCATCATCTCCATCTCCTTCCTCTTGTGTGTAGTTACTCGGAAACCATCCGGATGCTCCTCCACTTTGACCTCTCCACCAACCATCGTTACTTTTTTCTAATATTAATATTCTCGTTCCTTTAGTTAAAGAAAGTTCATCCGGTTGTTGAGCTTGATAATTATATTTAACCACTGCTGTTCCTATGGCTTCGGAAGGATCTGCAGGAAGTTTTCTACTCAAAGATGGGGAATCCATTGTTCTCGATGGTGAATTATTAGAATTCGGAGGAAGCGTTTTAGATCCGGATCCTTTTTTAACTTTTTTCTTGATGCTAAAAAAGCAAAAAATTGATTCGTTAAGTTAATTAAACAAATTTTTTTTTTTTTTTTAAATTAACCGCACTTTAAAAAAACTGCACATGCCTGTCAAACAATGAAGGTTTTTCCTTTTTGACATAATTACTAGGAACATATCCGCTTTGATTTCTAGAATTTTGAACTCTCCACCAATGTTTTGAATCATCCAAAAGCATGTACCTTTCATTTTTTCTCAATTCTAATTCTTGTGCTCCTTGAGCTGCATAATCATATTTAGCAACTACATAGCACACATCATCTTGATTTCCTTTACCTAAAAAATATATAAAAAAAAAAAAAAAAAATTAAAAATCCACGAGTAAAATTATAGAAAATTAATTTAACTTACCTTAATTTGTAACAAAAAAAGAATAATTAATTAAAAAAAAAAAATTTCATAACATGCTACTTACCATGAGGCCTCATGATTCCTATGTGATGCGAAGGCGAAGAATAAGAATTTATTTTTCCCTGCCAAGTCACATTTCCCGGTGACTGACACGAACAAGCTTCCAGCATAGTTTTTCTTTACAATGCATTAATATGTCATTTGCCACTAAACAAGTGCAACACAATTTAATTTTTAACTACAATAAAAAAAAAAAAATCACAACAAACATTCTGTGTTACTCAAAACATTCAAGCATTATCTACAAAAACATTATAACGAAAACACAAAACTAAAATCAATTTCAATCTGACAATTCGTTAAGATAACAAAAAAAAAAAAAAAAAAAAAAACAATTTTTATTCGACGAGTAGAGATTTCTAAAATCCATGAATGAATGAAAAAATCACATTGTAAAATATAATTAATCTTGACAAATCGGCCATTCACAAAAAAAAAAAAAATACTATCAATTTTTACAATTGCAGTAATAATACAAAGATACCATGCATAAATTGAATCCTTATCAATTATGTCATCTATAAGGCCATCATCATTGTCATTCATAAAATTTGCTTATAAGTATTAAAATTGTTTTTATTAATTTATTATTATGAGAGAATTTTTTTAAGAATGTTGTATATATATATATATATATATTACATAATACAAATTTAACTCAAATCAAAATTTAAACCTTTTGAAAAAATTATTGCAATATTTAAAATAACGAACGAATTTTTTGAAAAAAAAAAAAAAAATGAACTCGCCTTATTTAAGAAAAAAAAACTCGAAATATTTTTTTAAAAAAATAAAAATTAAAGGGACCGCCCGCCCCATTTGTCTTATTGACGCCATGACAGGTGACTCAGTACAAACAAAATTTATATTTATTTTTAAAAAAAAATTAAAAAAAAAAATACAAATTTTTTTTTCACTTACCAATTTTTAAACTAGACATGACGCAATTAGTGAAAAACACAAAACTATTAATATACACCCTTAGGTTATTAATATTTAAAAAAAAACCATTATGATTCATTAAATTCAACTAATCATTACCAAAAAAAAAAAAAAAAAAAAACTAAAATCAATTTTTATTGTTTTTTTTTTTTTTTTTAAAGAACCCGAATAAAAAAAAAAATTAAAAATGTCCCCGTATTTTAATTTAATTTCAAATAATTTTCTTTCGTAAATAAATTCTACGCGAGGGAGAGAAACCCATACTATAATATAATTGAAAATAACATCACACTTTATGATATTTCACCTTGCACCTATACTAACTTGTCAGCCATGAAAATCAGTTAAGTTGGCAAAACTGTCAACAACTTTCAATTTAAAAAAAAAACCCGCCCAACTTTCTATTTTGACCAACAAAACAAATATGTAAAATAATATATTAATTTTTTAATTTTGATGTAATCCCAAAAAAATTTTAAACTTGATTTTATAAAATTAAACAAAAGAAATTATTTTTTAAATAATTAATTAAACTTTTCAAGGTCGAATTTTAAACAGTTATGATTTCTGAACAGTTTGAATTGAAAAAAAATTTAATTGCTTCAAGTAGTTAAAACAGTAGTTTCGCTTACCTGTAAACCTCGACATTGTATATTATTTACTTTCTAATGACACGTTGACATGTGGTATTTTTAAATTCCTCATTCGAATTTTACAAATGTCGTTTTTTTCCTGTTGGAAAAAAAATGTTTTAGTTTAGGTTGTCACACTAGTGATAAGCATCAATTCAAATTTAAAAGATTTTAATTTTAAATATGTAACTTATGTGTAATTTATAAACAACCGCGTTTTAAATTTTTTTTTTTTTTACTATTTTTGAATTGAAGGTTATTTTTTAAAAGGTTTTTAATAACTTGCTGTTGAATGAAAAAAAGTTTTCCATATTTAAGCAATTTAATTTTTTATCTCGAAAAAGTAAGAAAGAAGCAAACTGCAATTAAGTTATTTTTCCTTAGGCATTTAACTATTTTTTAACATATGGTAAATAGATCTGCAAGCTGTTAATTAAATTTTTCAATATTGCATCATTAAATGATAAAAAAAAAAAAAAATAATTTCAGATGAATTCGAAAATGTGTGGTGAAACTGGAGGCAAAGTGCCTCTCAGTTTAGAAGAGAAAAAAAATTTAATTACTAGAAATCTTCAAGAAGTATTAGGAGAAGAAAAAATGTTAGAAATTTTAAAAACGAGAGAATTGAAAATATATTGGGGAACTGCTACGACAGGAAAACCTCACATTGCATATTTTGTACCCATGTCTAAAATTGCAGATTTTCTAAAAGCAGGATGTGAGGTTTGTAGTTTGGTTTATTTACTCAATTTAAGAAAAGAAAGAAAAAAAACTAAAAGTAATTGAAAATTTCATTTAGGTAACTATTCTATTTGCTGACCTTCATGCATATTTGGACAATATGAAAGCACCATGGGAGTTATTAAGTCTCAGAACAACATATTATCAACAAATCATTACAGAAATGCTTAAATCTATTAATGTTCCCACTGAAAAGCTTAAATTTGTTAGAGGATCAGACTATCAGCTTAGCAAAGAATACACTCTTGATGTTTATAAATTATCTACCTTAATAACGGAGCATGATGCTAAAAAAGCTGGAGCTGAAGTTGTGAAACAAGTCGAACATCCATTACTATCTGGTTTGCTTTATCCCGGACTCCAGGCTTTAGATGAAGAATATCTTAAAATAGATGCTCAATTTGGTGGCGTCGATCAAAGGAAAATTTTTACTCTAGCTGAAAAATATTTGCCTCAATTAGGATATACCAAAAGGGTGCATCTAATGAATTGCATGGTGCCAGGATTAACTGGAGCCAAAATGTCTTCGTCGGAAGAAGATAGTAAAATAGATTTGCTGGATTCTCCGGAAGCTGTAAAAAAAAAATTAAAAAAAGCTTTTTGCGAGCCTGGAAATATTGAGGATAATGGCGTTCTAGCTTTTGTCAAACATGTTATTTTTCCAATATTTATTCAAGATGGTAAATTTGTTGTTAAAAGATCTGAAGAACATGGTGGAAATATGGAATTTGGGTCTTTTGAAGCTATACAAGAAGCATTCGCTTCATTGCAACTTCATCCCGGTGATTTGAAACTAGCTGTGGAAGGTTACATTAATCAACTGTTAGCCCCTATAAGAAAAGCTTTCGATACACCTGAATTAAAAAAATTGACAAACTCTGCTTATCCAGCACCTACCAAAAATAAAAGCAGTAAGCATAATAAAAAACAAAAAAAATTTTTAGAAACGTTTTTTACTAATATTATAGAAAATTTGTCTTTTTTCCCAGACAAACAACCAGCTGTCGAAGAATTAACTCCTGCAAGATTAGATATTAGAGTTGGAAAAATTGTAGAAGTTTCAAAGCATCCAGATGCTGATTCTTTATACGTTGAAAAAATAGATGTGGGAGATGATGAGCCTAGAACTGTTGTAAGTGGACTCGTTAATTATATATCCATAGAAGAACTGAAAAATAAATTAGTTGTCGTACTTTGTAATTTAAAACCTGTTAAAATGAGAGGAATCGAATCATGTGGTATGGTTTTGTGTGCGTCCAAGTAAGTTTTTTTTTTTTTTTTTTTACTCATAAATAAATATGTATTCGATTTTACAACCCTGTTAAACGAAATAAAATTATTTATCGATTAGAGATGAACCTAAAGAAGTTGAAATTTTGACTCCTCCTGAAGGTAGCCAAGGTGGCGATAAAATTTTTGTCGATGGATTTACAAACGGAACTCCAGATGATGTATTAAATCCCAAAAAAAAAATATGGGAAAAGCTTCAGGTTAGTATTGATTTTTTTTCAACAATTAAATTTATCTTTATGAAAATGTGAACAATTTTTTTTTTTTTTGGAATTTTAGGAAGACTTGAAAACGAATTCAGTTTGCGAAGCATGTTGGAAAGACAATCAATTGTTAACCAAAAATGGAGTTATCAAATGCAAAACATTGAAAAATACATTTATTAAATAAAAGAAAATTATGATTGCCCTATCGAGATTGAATTTAAAAAAAATTTACTTTTTTGTATTTACAACAAAAATTTTGGAAGAAAAAATATTAATATATTAAAAATAAAAAAATATATGAAAGTAATAAATTTAGTTATTGTTATTAATTCATTATTAGTGATAGTCTTAACAAGTAAAAAATTAATAGTTGAAGTAGTATAAAATAAAAACACATTTAATACAATGAATAAATCAATAACCCCTGTTATTCACGTTAATTATTATGTTGCTATGGAACACTTAAAAGTATTGATGAAATAACTTTAAAAAAAAGAAATAATTCAGTTTAAACATGTTGACAAGACGAGAAAAGCTTTTAACAAGGCCTTGGCAATTAAGAAGATATAATTATCATAAAAAAAAGGTTATAAATGAATTAATTTAAAAAAAGAGGTTAAATAAATTGAAAATATGTATGGGTAAGAATTGGTTATTATTTCAGTTGGTAAATGCTGTCTCGGTTATAGATATTGGTCCCCCGGCAGAAAGAGATCATGTAACGATAAAATTAAAAAAACTTCAAAAGGAAAGAGAAAGACAAATGAAAATTGAAGATGAAAATTTTATACTTTTACAACATTTAGGATCAATAATGTCGAAGAAAAGAGTGGATAATTATTGGGAAAAAGAACCGCCGACATTTTTAAGAAGAGTGAGCATCTATCACAAAACAAGAAGTCCGTCACCTTGTTTGGAAATATCACCGGAATCAACGCCGAAAAAATCAACGAGAAAATTAAAATGTTCAGCATGCACTCCCCAACCTGAAAAAATAACATCGGGTCCCGAAGAAAGAATACCGTGGGCACCACCGAAAAAAATTTTAACAAAACGTTTAAGTAAATCAGCCGTTTGTCCCGTATTATCCGATTTTGATTTTCCTAAAATTCATCAAAAATCAATATCAACAAAATCTATAGAAAAATCTAATAAAAATTATTCCGAATCTTCTATTCAAAAATTTTCAAAAAAAGATAATAATGATAATAATAATAAATGTGAAATAATTGAAAAAAATTCAAATTTGCCATTTTTAAACGATAGCAAAACAAAAAAAAACGTTAAATCTGATCAAAGCGTTATACTTCGTCAGGGTAAATTAAAAATAATCGTTAATTTTCCATCATTTGCTGAAATAAAAGTTCTTAAGGGTAAAACAGAAAAATATTTACAAAGAAATTTTTGCGAATGTAAAAGTTTTCAATCCGTTAAATAACATAAAACTTTTTTTTTTGATTATTCACTTTACAAAACCTTCACAAAATATTTCCCAGGACACTAATCACCAAATAATATTCCATTTTTTCATTATTATAGCATAATTATTATAAAATTTAATCGTTTGTCGATATTTTCTTACTTACCGCAATGAAAAACAAAAAAAGAAAACTTTTTCAGCAATGATAATTCAAAAAAAACTTTCATTTTCTTTTCACAAGTATTACAATGATATAACTGAAACATTTTTGCAATAAACATGGCCGCCACCATCGTTTCACGCGCACAAATTTGACACGACTTCCGTTTCTGCGCGCGCATTTCATGTTTACATAAAAATAATAAAAAAAAATTATTTAATAAAAACATTTTTTAATTTTTTTTCGTAACGGTTTTTAATATCCGTTTTTAATTATTATTATTAAAAATTATTTCTTTTTTACAAATTTTAAAAATAAAAATAAAAAGGAAATCATTATAGCATTTAATTATGATGTCAGAAGCATTTAATTTTATTTTAAAAATTAATTTAAAAAAAAAAAAAACGTTAGAAAAAAGAAAACAATAATAGTAATAATAATAATGATAAAATTAATTAGATATTAATTGATTCGTTCGTAAAATAATAATAATAATAATATTCTCATTATCAAAATTAATAATAATAATAATTTTTTTAAAATATCAAATTTTTGTATGATATTCAATGGATATAAGTAGTGATGACGTCATTATAACGATTCACTCTCACCCACAGACATTTTTTTTTGGACTGAGAAAATAAAAACAATTTTTTTTTTTTTTAAAGGAAATTAAATCGTAATTAAAAATATACAGATTAATTATCATTTTTTTTTCTCTTTTTCTTTAAAATAATTAATTTGAATTTAATTCAATTCTTAATGTGTATATAAAAAAAAAATTAAAATTAAAATTAATGATTTAAAAATTAATTATTTAGCCATTATTCAATTTAAAAAATTTTCTTTTTTTTTTTTTATTATTATTTATTATTTATTGATGAAACAATGTTTTAAAATGGCCAATATATATATATATTTATAAAACGTGTAATTTCTCATAAAAACAGCTTCGACTTTTCAAATTTTCAATGATTTCTCACAAATTATTATAAATAATTATATTAATCCCATTGATAAATGATAAACCAATAATTATATTAACAACCTTCATTTAATTAAAAAAAGAAATTTGATTAATAATTGAAATCACATCCCCGTGTTATTATTATTTTATTTAATACAAAATAATATATGTATATATATAAAAAGTAAAACTACGTACCAATTTCGTAAAGAAACAAAAAAAAAAGAGAGAGAGATATATATATATATATATATATATAAATAATTTGAAATAATATCAATTCTATTAAAAAAAAAAAAAAAGAAAAAATTAAATTCAGACGACGTTTGAGAAATCAAATTATATAAATGTACATAACATTTGCTTTAAAATTTTGATTTTTTTTTTTTTGTTTACATTCCCCATCGGGTGTTATTTAATAATAATAATAATAATATTAATGATATATCCATCGTTATTGAAACATTAATGAACAAGCCGAAGCCGCTGAGAAAAATTGGCATATAAAAACTTGTGTGTATTATTCCTTTTGAAAATAATTCAATAGTAAAAATGAAATTCAATTTTTTTTTCTTTCTTTCTTTTTTCTTTTTCCCCGTTTCGTTTTTAATTTCACTCGAATTTGAAACCTTCACTTGATATACTCGTATTCGGATCGAATTGAAATCCTGTTTCTGTAGCTTGAGGCATTAAATTCGGATCGTCTTCGGCCTAAAAACAAAAAAAAATGTTTTTTTTTTTAAAGATGGGAAACGTGTAATGCGGAAGAACGAATGTACGTGAGAATGCAGAAAGAACTTACATCTTCCGAAAAGTAATTTTCAATAATATCAAAAGCCAATTTATATATATCATGATTTTCATGATTTTGAAGTGCTTCAATCTTGTCCAATCCTCCGCATTCTTCTATCATGTTAGCGAGTCCCTCGACTTGCGGACCCGCCATTCTCAGCATATTGTTAATCCCGTCCAAAACTACTTGTATAACTTGATTATCGTTACATGCTAACAAGTCGCAAAAAGGCGGAATAACACCTTCTTGTATTAGAGTGGCTACTTGATCTCGGTTACCGCTTAATGTTAAATTGCTTAAAGCCCATGCCGCTTCTTTTTTCGTCTGAAATTCCCCCTCGACTAAATTTCTAATTATGTGGGGTAATAAATTTGCATCGATGACTTGCTGAACTTGATGCTGGTTTCCGGCCGTTATGTTCGATAGAAACCAAACGGCTTCCTTGCATATTTTCTCTTTGGAGTGAGACAAAAGTTCTGGAAAGTGAGAAAGAGCGTCGCAATTTAGTACAACCTGAGTTTGTTCGTCCGTTCCCGTGACAATATTTCCAACCGCTCTTAAAGCCGCCGTTTGAACTTTTACTTCCTTATGAGATAACAACGGTATTAACTTCGATACTATACCACTGTCGACTACCATTTGAATTTGATCGTTTCCACCGTCTGTCAAATAACTTATGGCCCAAACGGTGTCGACGAGTATATTTATATCACTATGATGAATAAGAACGTTTAAAGCGGGTAATATTTCGCTGATGGTTTGAGAAGGAGGAGGAGGATCTTTGCTTCTGCAGAGGTTAACGATAACCCAAGTGATGTTACGTAAGAAACTGATGGGTATATTTGGTTTTATAAAAGTAAGCAAAGGACCTACAACTCCTAAATTAATAACGTAATCTCGTAAATCAGGGCCGTCACCAATAACGTTGCCAAGAGCCCAAACGGCTTGCTCGCATACGTTTTGATGAGGAGACAATAAGAGCTGAAGGAACAGTGGTACGGCCTGAGCATCGACAACGGCCTTTGTTTGACGACTGGAACCAGAAGCTATGTTCGTTAAAGCCCACGTTGCTTCAAATTGTAGGGTAGGATTTTCGGAACAAAGGCAGTTGACCAATATTGGCAATATTCCTGCATTTATTAAATCATCTATTGGGGGATTCCGATCGGAGGAAAGGAGTTTTCTTGCTGCTTGAACGGCATTTAATTGTATTTCCGGATTAGAACTAGCAGAATTTCTAACTATTTCTTCGACGCTAATTTTTTTGTCAATGTCGTCTTCTTCTAATGATTCAATATCAAATATGTTTCGTCTTTTTTGTAACGTTTCTTCTCTTTTATTTTTTCTCAATTCGATGGTGACCTCATTGCGCCGTCTTCTCATTTCCTGTAATTTTAAAACGAACATAATTTAAAAATTTAATCTTTAAAAGGCAATAAATAAATATTTTATGATTGCATTTAAATGAGATGATCAAAAATTTACATAAATTTTTAAAAATCTCCATAATCTGTGTTTTTTATATATTTGGTTCGGAAAATGCCAAGCACACATGTGTGACTAAATGCATTTCGAATGATACTCCTCATCACACTCATATCTATTCTCATTAATTTCTGTAATATTACTTACAAAATATTTATCTAAGTATAAATACACATACTTAAACAGAAAAAAAATATGAATAGAATAAAACTATTTTTAGACAATTTATAAATAAATAAAATAAATATTTAAACGACATTATTTATAAAATAAATTTAAGTGTATAAATACGATACAAAAATTTAAGTGTTTTTAATAATGAATAATAGCTCATTATTATAATAAAATGAGCAACACAAATATAAATATGTGCTGATATCATCAAACTTGATAATTTCAATGTTTCATCAAAATTATAAAATTGTGAAACTTTTATTTTTTTTTACAATTAAAAATTTATAATTAGAAATTTAATAATGCTCGTAAAAAAAAAAATTTTTTTAAATATTTATTTTAATTAAAATATATATTACCACAATACCAATTCAATATGATTCATTTAATTCAAAATATCATTAGAAAAATTCTTTTCAAACACTCGATATTAATCTTTTAATATTCGTTAATATATTATATGTATTATAAGAAGGAGAATAAAAAATAAGTAAAATTTAAATAAATACATGTTTCAGATGTAAAAAATTATTTTAAATTGAAAATAAGAAAAAAAAAATTAAAAATATAATCAATGGATATAAATTAATAAAAAAAAAAAAATTATAAAAAATAAAAATCTTTGTTGTGAATAATACCATACCATAATTTTAAAGGAAAAATTTGAAATATTGCATATCACATTGTAATATTTTACAAGCCTAATGTATATGTATTCGAAAAAGGTGTAATATTTCATGCGTGGCCAAAAAAATTAAATAAAAATACAGAATCAATATGTTTTGAGTTTTTCGTAGTAATAAACAATATGTATAAATTACATTTTACCGAAACCGCGTTGAACAAAAAAATTCAAAGCACACACGTTTATTTAGCGCCAAGGAAAATTACATTTTAAACTGTACAAAAACTATTAAATCATTTGAATTTAAAGAGTCTGAATAATAAAAACTAAAAAAAGAAATTTAATAAGCAAACAATTATATTCAATACTTACATCCTGATCTTTTCCTTTATTTTTAAAGACTTGCATCCTTTGTTTTATCTGTGGGTCAGTCGCCATTTTTGGAAAATAGTCAATCAAAAGTCACTAGATATAATTAAAAAAATATGTTAAATTTTATGTAGATGCCAATATAAAGAAAAAGCAAGATTTTCGTCAAAACATTTCGTTCAAATAATAATAAAATTATCCATATGTAAATTAATTTTTAAAAAAACCATTCACAAGAAAATTCACGTTAACACACACCTATCTGCAAAATGGAAGATGTTCGAAGCAAATCTTAATAACAGCAAATTATTATTTGAGTAAAATGCTATTTTGAAAAAAATATAATTCGCGTAATAAAACGATTTGTATGTATTGTAAATTTTATAATAACGTATCTCAAATTTATTTAAATTGATTTTTCTTTTCTATCGATGAAATAACCGAATTTAATTTTTTTTTGCTAGGATAAATTATTTTGAGATAATTAATATAAAAACCGTTTTTCGTAAGCCATTTGCTTTGCTCATTTACAATAAGTTTCTAGCAATAAAATTTTTTTGACTTTTGAATAATTAAAAAATTTTTTTTTATTTTTTTTAATTTTGAAGTCGTAGCTTTCGTAAATTTTAGGGTAAATTAAATTTTTATTGTTTAAAAATTATAAAGTTCATAAAAAGTTGATTTTTTTTTAAATTTCAGACACTAAATTTAAAATAATTTTAATAAAAGAATATGGCGCATTCTTAACGGTTTTTTCTTTTTGAATAAAATAAATTTTAAGCTAACTTTTACTTAATTAAACAAATCTCAAAGTCTGTAAATTTTAACATTAAACAGTTTTCAAAAAAAAAAAATTTGCAATCAAATTCAATTTTTTTTCAATTATTATGAAAATGATTTTTATGTTTCAAATGAAAACAAATTATTTTATTAATTAACAAAAAAAAGTATAATTTAAAAATTTAATCTAATATAAATTAAATAAATAAATAAATGATAAATAAATTGTTTTTGTCACAAAAAATTCATTCGACTACTTTATTTCAATGATTATGTCAATGATTTAGTTGTAACAAATTTAAAAAGAGATAAATTTTACTATTATTGCAGTAAAAACAACATATTTCATATTTGTATATATATATATTTAAACCTGATTTCAATTATTACAAACATAAAATAAAATAACATTCTTTAATATATTAATATAAATACAAAAATTACATTATAATGTAAAGCAAAAAGTAAATAAATCGAATTATGCTTCCTTTTTCAGATAAATACTACAAAAATTTCATTTTTATAAAAATTATCAAAGATCATATTTACTGAAATCGATGAGGCACAAAAAATTAGGAAAAATGGGGTAAGTGTTAAATTTACAAAGTATTAACAGAAAAAAAAAATCGACTGAATTTTGTTATGAATTGTGATTGATACTCAGGTATACAAAAAATTACTGAGTTTGTTATGTTAATTTTACATGGACATTTAGTATACAGTACAGTGGCACATATGTACACATATATATGATAAATTAACTCGAATTTTCTAATGTACTTTTGAATTTGGGTCTAAACCTATTGAAAGATGTCGATTGATTCACTAATGCCTCAGTACGATTAGTTACATTTTCCAATAAGTTATCCTCTGAAGTAATGGAATTTTTCTCATTATTATCATTAATTTTTTTTTTACAAGAGTTAACATTCTCCATTTGATTATCTTTGGTAGGCCAAACGTTTAATTTTTCAATTTGTGGTTCTTGACACAATTCAACATCATCATTTTTCTCTACTGTTTCATTTGCGGTCAATTTTTCTGATATTTCTTCTCCTAATATTTCATCGATAAATATATACGACGATGATGGTTCTTTTAATTTTTTCCCATTCGTTCCCACATGAGAGAATATATTTTTTCCTTTACTTATCGTTAAGTCATTATCATTATTATTATCATTACCATCAGAGCCTTCGTTGCGCGTGGAAGAAGAAAATTTTTGAAACTCGCTCCCCCCCGCCGGATATTTCCCAAATTGTTCTTTATTTTCGACTCCATCTTCGTCGGTTTTTAACGATTTATCAGATGAGTTTAACGTCGGTTCCGAACCGAATTGCTCCCCATCTTTTTTCCAGGTACTTAATGATTCTTCGTATTCGTTCAAACCTTTATCTAAAGAATAACTTAAATTATTATTATTATTATTATTATTGACCTTTTCCCCTTTATCCCGTAAATTATTTTTTAAATCAAACATATTCGTGTATAAATCTTTCGACGAGCCTAACGATTTAGAAATGTGATGAGCTGGCGTTCGATAGCCGCGGCTGTTGACAGTCTTTGATCCTGATCCTGATCCGGGTATGAAATAAGGTTTTAAATATTTTTTCGATTGAAATGATAAAACGCTGCCCAAAGGACTAGACACACTCAAATTCGAACTGCAAATATCTATGGTCGATGAAGATGGTGACCTGTTATTGTGGTCGACGGTAGAACATTCGTATTTTAATTTTATCAGAGACGATAAATTTTCTAACGTGTTTCGTAGATCCGATGTGGGCAACCCGCATAACCATCTCATTTGAGCTATGTTTTTGTTTAATAAGTATACCGCGTAGTGAAATTGCAATTTTTCTTTACCTTTATTATACAGGCAAAATTCACGTTCCGCATCGGGAACTTTATCCGTGATTAAATCGATTATTTTACTACGAGATCCATAGTGAACGACGGGATACCGTAGAGGAATTTGTAAAAAAATCGATATCATTTGTATTATGTGAGTGACGAAACCCAAAGCTATTGAAATTTGTAAATCGTCGTGTCCCGCAAAATCTTCCGAATTGGGCAAATGAACCCCACATATCGTGTATTTTTCCGGTGAAACTTCCACAATGGGATATATTAAATTTAATTCCGATATCAATTGCTTAGTTCTAAAATTTAACATCGCTTTGGAATGCAAATATTTTTCCCTTCTATCTATGTAACTTTTTTTCCATTCTTTCTGAACGTGAATTTCTTTTTTTAAATTTTTAAAATTTTCCATTATTTTCGATTCTAATAAATGATTCGAATGCGACAGCGATTTGATATTATCTTCTAAATTTTTAATTCTATTAATTAATATTTCTTTTTCCTCTTTTAAAATGGCTATTTGGTATTTGACAATTTCAATCGATTCCTTCACTTTTAACAAATCTAAATGATTCGTTTTCGGCTTGTGCTTATTTAATATTTTTCTTAAAGAAGTTCGTCCTCTGCTTTCGCTCCTGAAAAAATCTCCCATTGATATTTTTTTTTTTATTATTTCAGCTTCGTTCATTTCTTTTTTAATTACATGTTGTATTGTTTGTAATCTGAAAAAAGTGTATTTAATATTAATCTCTTTTTATTTTACATTGATGACATGTGATTAAAATTTTAAAAATAAATCCTTGATGAAATTAATAAAAGCGGTTTTGCGACAGACGATTCATACCTTTTAAGAGAATTGACAGAGTAACTTAAACGGACATCACAGCTATTAACTATCACAGAACTATAACGAACCTTTAGGTTCATATCTAAACACTTGGGATCAGTAAAATATCCGCCTGGCATTAAAAATACTAGAGAATTTGGTTTTAATGGAACATCTCCCCTTAAATTAGGTCCAAGGTACATTAATCCACTTAGATAAACTCCCCAAACTGCCAAAACTTTATCTTCAGAATACTGAGAATTACTGAACCATAAACGAATAACCACAGCTAAATAAAGATAAATTATTAAAAAAATTTAATTAAAACAATTAATCATCTTTGTCGATTAAAATTTTTTTATGTGTCAAACATAAAACATTGTAATTGCATACCATCTATTGAATTGCACACATTCTTTTCCCAAAAGGATATATCTAATTCCTTCCATTTAGGACTGTCACTTATTAACTTTTCACTTGTATAAAAGGGAGCGGACATTGTTGTTGCGTGTAACGTAAAATAATAAGATTCTTTATTCGCGTTGTTATTACTATTATTATCATCATTTAAATTTACATCTATTGTTCCTTTTTTATCGTTTTTTATACTAAATGCTAATATTTTAATTAAATTACGTAACCTCAGTTGTTGAGTAGCTAGAGGTAACCATTCTTTCTTCCATCGTGGTACAAATTGTTGCGTTAAAAGCATTTTATAATTCTAAACATTATAACAAAATATAAGTCGAGCTTAAATAAGACAAATCCTAGGGACATGTAATAATCGTCCCCTATAATATTAATCACCATGTAAATAAACCAAAGTGTCAACAAAGCCGTCTGCTATTTCCACTGCCTTGTAATAAAAAATTAACATTTCGTTTTGTTTATTCCGGCGGGAAAAATGTTTAACCACCATTTTCTTTGCACTTAAAAATGATTTCTCTAAAATCCAGTAAAGTGAAATTTTTTTTTAATAATCTAAATTTTCGAGCCGCTTACGATTTAAATAGAAAAAAAAAAACCGTTAAAATTAAAAAATTTTTGTTTTACAATTTGTTTATATTTAAATAGTTTCAATTAAGTAAAGTTACACTCAAATTCAGGTAAAAAAAATTCTTTTTTTAAACTATAAATTAACTTATAAATCTATAAAAATAAATTCTTATACGTCTAAATGATATTTTATTCTGTCAGCAACAGTCGGTAATATTTGATTTAAACTAATAAACTTATCTATTTCTATTTTAGCGGAAACTATTTTGTTTTTTAAATTTTTTTTATATTTTTTTTCTATTTTAATATGTCCTTCAAGTTCTTTTATTTGTAAACGTGCTTCTCTTCTAAAAAAAAAAAGAAAGTTAAACAAATAATTCGAGGTATTAATTACATAAGGAAAATTATCGAACAAAAAATTTTATAATTACATATCATCCTCAAGTTTAACTATTTTCGATTGATATTCTCCTTCTGTTTTTCTCAATAGCAAATTAGTTTCTCTAACTTCTTTTAATTCTTGCAAACAAGATTCGAATCTTTCTGGAGTTATTTTTTGTATTTTCCCATTTGTTAATGCATGAGATTTATTAATGTCTTCATTGAAACAAGTACATCCATTATTTTTAAACATTGCTTTTATTTCACGACATTCTGTGATCTGCGAAGGATTGAATTTAAGGTACAAACATTTTTTTTTTCCCCTAAACAATTCAACTTTGTCGATTATAATACCTGCGCTTTGAGTGAACCTATATATAATTTTGATTTTTGTAATTCTTGCTGCAATTTAATTATATATTTATCTTTTTTATGAATTTCATCCATTAGATTTTTACCATTTGAAACTTTTCCCATCATTTCATTCTGACACACACAAAATACAATTAAATAATAAGGAATTCATTAATTGAAAATTTAAAAAAAAAATAAAATTTCATACTCTCAATTGCATTAATTCTTCTTTGTAATTTTTTTCTTTTTCGACTGCCATCAATTCGATTGATTGTCTAGCTGATTTTTCTTCCATTATGATTTTTATAGATTGTAATAATTTTTCAGCCATTTCATTTTTTTCCTCTTCTTGTTTTTGCCAGTTTTTACTATTTGCCTCCAGTGAATTTTCCATTTGAACTAATTTACTTTGTAAATTTTTCAACATTTCGTTCAAACATTCATTTTTCTTTTTAACATTATCAATTTCATTTTCTCTCATTTTTTTATCCATTTTGAATTTGTTCAACAAATCGTTTAATTCCAATATTTTTCGATCTCTTTCTTCTAAATCCCCTGTTAATATTTGTATTTTTTTCATTAATTCATCTGAATTTCTGCAGGAAAAAAATTTAGTTTAGAAGTAGTTTAAGGAATTGGTTGTTATAAAAAACAGTGAGTTGAATTTGTAAACAACAGACTTTTTATTTATGATTGAATTACTCGATAGTTTTGCATTTGGAAGATTTTTCATCATAACTTCCATTCTTATTTGATATTTTTGTATTTCAGCTTTGAGGTCAGCAATGATCTGAAACCATAATTAAAAATTTCATTAAATCATTTCATTCAATTTAAATTTATTTCATTTGTTAATGTATAAATTACCAATTCCAATTTTTTCTTTTCATTTTCATGATTCATGTTAATGTATTCGATTTGTTTTTTCGATTCAATCAATTGAGTTTTATATGTTGATATTTCACATTGCATTTGTTCAAATTTTGACACATCAGTTTTACTTTTGATAACATTTGTCTTGTGTAATTTTTCATTTTCATTATTTATTTTCAAACATTTTTCATGTTCGACAGACAGTCTCAAATTCAATTCGTCAACTTCTTTTTCTCTATTTTGTATTTCATTTTGTAAATTTTTCATTATAGAATAATAATTACCAACCATGTTTTCAAGTTTTTTCCTTTGTTCATGCGTTTCATTTAATTGTTGTTTCAGATTTTCAACTTCCTCATTATTCGACTCCACATTATTATTGTCTTTGATGGTAAATTGACAAGCCGATATCTTACTCAAAATATGAGTTATGTTATTTTCAAGGTAAGTTATTTTATTATTGTACTCCATTATGTTTTCTTTCAACATGATTTCCAAATAGTGAATGACGTTCGTTCTATCGTTACATTCCGCTTTGACGTTTTTATATTTATCTTGAAGTTTTTGTAGTTCTTTTCCCACAATCGCATATTTATTCAATAAATCTTTTTGTTCTTTCAACGATTCATCTCTGTCTCTCGTGTATAAAATTATTTTTTCTTTTATTTCCAAATTTTCCTTTTGTAGGATTTTACATTGATTTCCCATTGAATCTAACGACTCGGATAATTTTCTTTCCGAATTTTTTAAACGATTATTTTTTTCGTTTAATATTTCCATTTCCTTTTCCGTTTGTTTGTATTTATGCAATAAGGTTTCAAGTTCACTTTTACAATTTTCCAATTCGTTTTTAGTTTTCTCGTGTAATTTCAATTCGAATTCGTATTTTTTTTCCAAAGTATCATTTTCCGTTTTCAATCTCGACATCGATTGATTGACCTCTTTTAACTTCTGTTTATTTTTATCTAAATTTTCTTGATTTGTATTGATTATCGATTCTAAATGTTGTATATATTCCGTCATTTCTTTTTGTGATTGATTCATTAAAATTTTTATCGAATTAATATCGGATTCTGAAAATCGTAGGAAAAAATTAGTCGTTAAATGGTGGAAAAGGAAAAAAAAAAAAAAAAAAAAAAAACAAAACAAAATGGATACTCATCACCGATTTGTTTTTTTTCAATCAATATGTCGCCGATTTCTTTTTTCAATGCATCATTTTGATTTTTTCTACTTTCTTCCATTTTTAAAAGTTTATCGTTATCCATTTTCAATTGATTAATAATATTTTCTTTCGATTGTACAACATCTTCGAGATTTTTAATTTTATCGAAACAATTTTCCAATTGTTCCGTGCTTTCCTTTAATTTTCTACAATATTCGCTTTTCTCGTTTAATAATTCTTTTATCATGTTACTCTTTTCAACGATTTCATTTTCAATATTTATTTTTTGCTCTTCGTATAATTTCAATATGTCGGACATTTGATGTTTTTCGTCGTCGCTTAATTTTTGCGTGGATTGCAACGCGAGAATTTCATTTTTCCTTTCTTTCAACGCCATCATGGTTTGTTTTAATTTTTCATAGTGTTCCATTTGACTTTGTACGAGTATTTCATTTTCCGTTTTCAAAGCTTTCAATTCTTCCGTCAGTGTTGCCTTTTCCATCATTATCGAAAAATAATCTTCCATGACTTTATCACCGGATTCGGGCATCGACGTTGATTTTCGACATTGTTCAATCAAATCCGCGTAACCCATGATAACCATGTCTAAATTTTTACAATCTTTTATTTTCTCTTGTTTATCGGAGCAAAGTTTTTTTTCATACAAAAAATTTTCCCTTTGTACCAAAATATAACGATCAGTGATAATGTTTAAAAATCTATTGAGTTTATGTAAAAACTTTTGAGGTTCTTTAACGTCGTCATCATCATCATCATCATCATCATCATCATCATCGTGATTATTATTGATAAATGAGTCTCGGTTGAATATGTTAAATTCGGAAAGTTTATCTTTTAATATTTCCATAGTTTTTTTAACTTGATGACCCATATCAAACCAATTTTTCAAATTTTTTAAATAATTTTCTTTATCATTTTTCATTAATTTGATTTCTTTTTTAAAATTTTCTTCTTTTTCTGTTGCGGATCCTGTTGAGAAAAAGTTTTTTTTTTTTTTCTTTTTTTTTTTTTTTTTATGGAAAAAAATTTTAATTTATCCTAACTCGATAATGATAATAATTAAATATTACTTAAAAAATAACAAATTTATACGATTTTGTTTAACGAATTGATTTGATTGCTTTCTAATTCAATAGTATATTCTTACACGTGAAGAAGAGTAACCGACATTTTTTTTTTCGTTTGTTTGTTTGTTTGTTTGTTTTTGTTTTTCCATTGAATATCTACTAACTTTTCAAATTATCCAGTTCTAATTTAAGATTACACACTTGGTCTCTTAACGTGTCCGCCTCTTTGTTGCCATCATCTTCGCAATCTTCAACATCCGTCGTACTCGATAAATATTTTTCCAATTCTTGCGATATTTCTCGTAATTTTTTTTTCAATTCTAAATTTTGATTCATGATGACTTCGTTCTTAAAATTAAACAACCAAATTTTTAAATAGCGATTCCGAAAACATAATTCGATGGAAAATTGAAAGAAAAACTTACCTCTTCCTGTAGGAGTTTCATTTTTCCTTCGATTATTTGCAAATTTGTATGAAGAACAGAATTTGTTTCTTGGACTATTGTTATGTCGTTACCTAAAAAAAAAAAAAAAAAAAAAAAAAAATTTAAATTTTTTAAAATGTTATTAAAGTTAAATAAAAAAGAGAGTGAAAAGGATCGCACCTGATGATTTTTCTTCATTTGTATAAATGTTAACCGTTATAAAATCGTTACTCGTTTGATTACATTTTTCACTTGTTTCCGCCTGAAAAAAAAAAAAAAAAATTATTTATAATTATTAATTCGTTTAAACAAATTTTAAAATTTTCCTCCATTTTGTTTTTTTTTTTTTTTTTTTTTTTTTTAGAACTTACAAATGAAGATTTTGGTATCGTAAAACCTTCAAAAAGAACAATTTCATTTTGTGGAGAGGTATGAACTGAAACAAAAAAAAAAAATTTAAAAGGTTAGTTTAAAAAAAAAAATTTTTTTTTTTTTTGGTTCGATACCTATCGTACCTACCTTCTAAATTGTCTTCATTTTGATTATCATTTTTTATATTTCTTTTACTCGTATTGACAAAACTCGATTCGGATGAAAATGATATTTCGTTTATTTGATGTGAACTTGCCGATATTTCTCTTTAACGAAAAAAAAAAAAAAAAAAAAATAAGGTTTACGTCTGGAACATTCCATACGTCACGAACATCATCATTATTAATCGTTAGTTTACAATCGTACCTGATTTTTAAACCAATGTCAGCTTTTCCCTGAGGTTCGTTTAATAATTGACGAAGTTTTTTTACTTCGCTGTGTAACGTTAAATTTCGGCTCGTCTCGCCATCAAGTCTTAAATCGATAATAATAATAATAATTTATTTATTTATTAATTTGAAAAAAATTTTTTCTGGATTTTTTTTAACCAACCTGTTTTGAAGAAGTTTAAATTTTCCAGTTAAATGATCGACCATAGTTCTCGTTTCTAATAATAATTTTGAATAATCAGGTCCTCCGGTATTATTATTATTATTATTATTATTATTATTATCCATTTTATCACTTTTTCCCGCGTAATCGCAATTATTTAATATTTTCGGATTGATATTTTCATCTTGTTCGATTAGAGTTTCGTGTGATATATCGAAAAAATGCTTTCGTAAATTATTATTATTATTATTATTATTATTACTATTATTATTATTATTATTGGGGTTGTAAAAATCGTAATTGTTTTTTTGCGTGACGTTTTCCACGGAATCTTGCGATAATTGCAGTCTCAAATCGAAATCCGAACTCATGAGCGAACTGGAAAATGAGAGAAAGAAAAGGTTTTTAAGGTTCGAATGAAAGGATTTGGGAGAGGTACGGCCGCGTACCTATTGTCACGTGTTCGCCTCCACAAATGTATCATTTCCGTATCGACGGGTATGATTCGTATGGATGCAGTTAAATTTAAACCCGGTTGTATGAACAGCAAAGTATTTTCGACTTTTCTTTCGAGATTTATACTTTTCCCATCGTGTCCTTCTCCCCCGACGTCTTCTTGTCTCAAAAAATTCTGTATGCTTTCCTTTGTGAGCAAACCACCGAAAGAACCGCCATTTTGACTCGTCGATTCGGATTCTTTGTTCGATATCAAATGTTCTTTCCTACCCAATAACACGGTATCCGCACTTTGACCGTTTAATAGTATCGTTACTTCGTCTCTGGTTACCTTAAATGAAAAAAGGATCGAATCAAATAATCGAAGGAAAGGGAAAAATGTTTAGGTTTTCTTTTTTTTTATACCTCTTGGTACTGTCCCGTTTCATCGAGTAGGTACCATGATTCCGTTATGGGTTTTCCTTTGTCGGATTTCATCTTACCATCAGCATTCATAGATCTCCTTCCTTTTTTTTTCTCATTCGTCGCTCCCCGGTCTTTAATCGCGTTCCTTCCGAATATGTTTGGCAAACTCATGACTTCCAAAGATGGCGGACTCGAGGGTCCCGCCCTGGGAGACTTATTATAATCGTTTTCGTTTTTTTTCACCCTGTTATACTCTCTGCTCTCTTCGTTCGATATATTATTATTATTATTATTATTTGCAGTGGGAGAATGGGAAACGTGGTTGTTATCATCCGATAAAATGTCTTCGTCGTGAACGCTCGTCGATGATTTCGATTTTTCCGGGTCTTTTTCCATCGTCATCGTTCTACACTCGTATTCGGTAAAATAAATGTGAGATTCGTCGTGAAAATTTTTCTTCGTTTCCACCATTTTTTGTAATTTATTTTGTAAAAAAGGTTCTTCGAAATTAATTATGCTTTTCAAACTGATTTTTTCAAATTCTTTTTTTTTTTTTTTCGTAACGTTATCCGATTTTGTCGATCTGCAAGTTTTCTTCTCGCGTTTTTGCAAATTCGTCGAACTTTTTGCTTTTTTTATAAAATTATTATTATTATTATTGCCGTTGCTGTCGCTAGTATTTAAATTTTCGCTTTCGTCATAATTCGATAACGTTTTGCTGTAGGCCGTGGAATTAACGTTGACGCTTTTCTCCGATTTCGGTATCATCCAAACGGTCGTGCTGTCGTTGGATACGTCCGTCCTTCTCGTTTCCACAACGTCTTCCATGACGTCATCTTCGTCTTCTTTGAATTTATCGCGGGTAGATTTTGAATGATCGTTGTCGTATTTAATAAAATCTTCTAAATCTTCGATCAAAAGCGAACTTTCTTCTCCCTTTTTATTACTACTATTATTATTATTATTATTATTAATAATAAAATCATGGTTTGATTTTTGACCACTCTTACTATCCAAACTATTTGTTTTCGATTGTTTTTCACCACTTATGCTCAAAACGTCAAACAAACTGTGTTTTTCCCTGTCGTCACTTCCGTCTGACGTCAATATGGATGAATGAATGAAAAAATTTTTTTTTTCATTTTTATATTCTTTCCCTACCTCTTTACTCTTATTAATATTATTATTATTATTATTATTATTATTAATGAAAAATGTTGAATTGTGATTTTCGACATCCGAATTCGAATCGGATGATGATGATGATGATGATGATTCTTTCGATACGTCATCAAATGGTTCGACCATTGTTTCTTCCTGACAATCCGTACTCAAATCCCAATTGCTTTGTTGTTGTTGTTGTTTGCTTTTGGGGAGTTGGAAATCGTTACCGGAAGAACTCGTTTCATCCCAACTGTTTATAATTTTTTCATTTTCTTTCCCATTCGTTTTCCCATCATCGGCGCTCCCATTTTTTTTCCGACCATGTCTCACGTTCGTAATTGAATTGCTTTCGTTTGACGATAACTTATCACTTTTTTTAGCCATTAAAATATAAGAAAAACTTTTTATATCGAATAACGATAATAATAAACACACGGTAATTTTATTCGACCATTTTGATTTAGAGCAACGTTGCCGAGTGACGAAATTTATTTATTTTTTTTTTTTATTAAACAAAAAAAAAGCCATTTTCCCCCCTCCCCCCCCCGATTCGTTTCATCATCATTATCGCATTCTTGTAGGGGATTCACCTTTTTTAACCATATTCGCACCATCATCATCATCATCGTCGTCGTCTCGTCACGTGACATTGTACAAGATTTATCACGATTACGTGACTTTGACATTTAAACATTAATAAACCTGAAAATAATTTTAATTAATTAATTAAAAATTAATATTATTAATGTTAAAGGAGATCAATTATGTCCCCCCCCGTGTATTTAAATTTTAAATGTCTCCCCACTACCACCGAAGTTTTAAACCGATTGATTGGTTAAAAAAAAAATAACTAAAGTGGGGGGGAGACACGTTGAAAATTATTATTATTATTTATTCTCACTCGGGTTCCAGTACGTCATTGTTCACGTGACCGATCGACTACCTATTCGAATACAATGACGTTAAAATTATTATTATTATTATTATGTATTATAGAAATGAATTTTGTCGAAAATCATTGTTTATCTAGGTGAGTTTTTTTTTTTTTTTTTTTTTTTTTTTCGAAAAGAAAATTTAATAGATAATAATAATAATAGTTATTGCTGTTGTCGTAGAAGTAATATATCAATTGAAACGGTTGGGGATCCGGTGATACACGGTGAGGGACCACATTGGGATTCCGATAAAAAATGTTTATATTACGTCGACATAACAAATCAAACCGTTAATAAATACGATCCTATAACAAAAAAAATAAATAAGGTTTACATAAGTAAGGAAAATTTTTATTTTTACTCGAACGCGCTTTTCCGAAAAAATTATCATTATTATTATTATTAAAATTTAGGCGGAGGACCTGTGAGTTTGGTGATACCGGTTAAACATGGAGAAGATGAATTCATCATCGGTAGAGGACTCGATATAGTTTTATTAAAATGGAACGGAATAACGAGTACGCCATCATCATCATCATCATCATCATCGACCTTGACGGTATTGACCTCCGTGGATGAAGATAAACCTGAAAATCGATTTAACGATGGTAAAGCGGATGCAAGCGGTCGACTATGGGCAGGTATTAAATCAATTATTATTATTATTATTATTATTATTATTGATAAAGAAAAATTAATTAATTTGATTAAAAACAGGTACGATGGGTCCCGAAAATCCAGATTTAAAACCTTATCAAGGTTCTTTATATTCGTTCGATTGGCCTGATAATTTCACTCCACATAAACATTTATCTCCAGTATCCGTATCGAATGGAATCGCCTGGAATAATGATAATGATCTCATGTATTATATAGATTCGCCGACGAGAGTCGTTAAAGTTTTCGATTTCGATATAATTTCTGGAAAAATAAGCAAGTTTTCTCTACTCCTGCTATTTATAAAAAACACATTTGCAAATGGTAATACTTATTATTATTATTATTATCAATCAGGTAATCCGAGAACGTTGTTCAGCCTGGATAAAAATAATATCGAAGGATTTCCCGACGGTATGACAATGGATAAAAATGACAATTTGTGGGTGGCCGTTTTTCGCGGGAGTTGCGTTCTTCACGTGAATGGAAAAACTGGAGAATTGTTAAAGAGGATAAATTTTCCGGTCACTCAAATAACGTCTTGCACTTTCGGAGGTGACGATTTGGAAGATTTGTACGTGACGTCATCGAGAGTCAACATAAACGATGGAGATTTGGAAAAGCAACCGTTGGCGGGATCAGTTTTCAAAGTGACCGGACTCGGCGTTTCCGGTCAAATCAAATCTAATACAATAGTATATAAATTTTAATGATCACGTGTCCTACAATCTTTAATATATATATATCTACCTATATATATTATTTTACAGTATATATATATATATATATATATATATATATATTAAAATAATAATAATAATAATAAAAACTATACAAAAATAAAATTTGTTTTCTTTTTTCTCCTTTTCCTTCTCCTTCTTCTCTTCCTTTTTTTCCTTTTTTTCCTTTTTTTTTTTTACATAAATAAAAATTTTTTAATTTTTCTCTCTCTTTTATAAAATAAAGACAAAATAATCAATTTAAAATTACAAACAAACAAACAAACAAACAAACAAAAAAATATTTTACCGACTATTATTTTGTACTTTTTGTACCGTTTTGATTAATATTTTGCCACTGATAATAATAATAATTTTGACATGATTAATTAATTAATTTTTTTTTTCTTTTCATTTTACAATTTAATAATAATGATAATGATAATAATAATAATAATAATAATAATAATAATAATAATAATAATAATAATAATGATAATGAACAACGAAAAGAAAAAAAAATTTATTTAAAATTTGTTTTATTTAATTATTGCCGGTGGGTTATTAATTAATCCACCCACATTTTTATTATTATTATTATTTTCAGTCTTTTTAAATTAAATTTAAATAAAACGATGTAATGAAATTATTATGTAAATAATAATAATAATAATAATAATAATAATAATAATAATAATAATTTTTGAAATGAAAAATGAATAAATGATATTTTTCTATCCCATTTTTTTAAAAATAGTTTTTGTATTAAACATAAAATAAAATCTTATCATTGTTTTTTTTTTATTCTTATCAGGGCAAGTTAAATATTGTACAGATTCATAAAACATTTAAAAAAAAAAAAAAAAAGAGAAATTTACAAATAAGTTTTAAAAATGGCTGCCACTACTACTACTACAAATACTACTATTATAAAATCAAATTATACAATTACAAAATATATATATTTTTTATATCGTAATAATATAAGTTTTTATAAATAATTATGTCAAAATAAATAAAATAATAATAATTTTTCTTTTAAATTAATTAAAATCATTCGAATTACCTGTGAAAAACATAAAAATATTGTTTTAATAATAAAAAAAATTTCATAAGACGCCATTTTTAAAAATATATACATATAAGTCAATTTAACACAATTAATTTTTAAAATTAGATAAAAATTATAATTCGTGTTATTTAATAATAATTTAAAAGTAAATTAATAAATTCCAGACATTTTTATTATTAAATCTTTCTTCCTATTTAAAAATTATTTATTGATTTAGAATTTAAAAAATTTCATTATTTCGATAAAATTTATTTTAAAAAAAGGTACATAAATATTTTTTTTTAAATCGACTAACTGATTGACTGACTTATTTAAACATAAATCAAATATATATTATTTAAAATGACAAAAAAAATAAAAAATAATAATAAAAAATACTGAATAAATAAATTTATTACAAAACAGAAAAAAAGAAAAAAAAACATTCGAGTTAATGAGATCTAAAATAACTTAAAAAACTAATAATAATTCTCTCTCTCTTTTTTTTTCTCTTTTTTTATAAACATATAATTAAACAAAATATATATTTATACAGTATGATAATAATAATAATGATAATAATTAATTATTATAATGAATAAATAAATGAGATATTAAAAAATTGACTAAAATTAATAAACTAATTTTTTAAAATGATAAATCGATTATACATTCCACCCCTTTCGATATAAACATTTTGTTTTTTAAATTAAATTTTGATAATTTTAAATTGTTAAATAATTAAAAAACAGAAATCATTATAAATTCTTTTTTTTTTTTTACCCTAAAATGTACAATAATTTACAATAATCAAATCGATAATTGTGTAAATATATTGATAAAGTTAACATTCAAAGTCAATTTTTTAATTTTGAATGTTGACATGGTAAAAGTATACAATTAGAAGAAAAGATTTTAATTACATACAAGTATTTTATGTATTGTTTACTTAATAGTTAAAGACAGTTAATAAGATGTTTTATATATGTCACAACGATTGAAACTTTCTTTTCGAATTTTTTTTTCTCGTTATTCATCGATCGAGCATAAGAAATTTTAAGTGACATTAATTTTTAAAAGAATCGGTTTTATTAATAATTTTCATAATCTTCATCCATAGCAAAACTGCTACTGATTCCAGAATCAATACTGTAATTAGGACTGATAGCTCTGCATGTCAGCAAAACAATCCTTTTAAGTTTTTTATTATAAAAAAAATAATTAAACGACCACAAACATCCATCTTCTCCGAATGGATCAGATGATAAGTCCGGGTTATAACTGAAATAATAATTTTAAATAATGTTTAACTAGAAAAAAATTCATTTCACAATAGATTTTATCTTCCACAATGATTGTATTAAGCAATCAGAGCATACCTGTATATATCACACTGAGACATTTGAATTTCATCATCGATAGCTGTCCAAATAGGTATCTTTAGTACTCTGTATTGCTCGCCGGCAGTCGCATTTAAATTACTGTCGACTGCATTAATGACCCACTATTTAAAAAAAATAATTTTTATTTTTTTTTTCATGTTACTTAATTTACAAAAATACATAAATGAAAATTCAGTAATAAAGTTTATTAAATAATTATTTAGGTATCATACCTGTAAGCTGGGTTCTTTGCTAAATTCATGACTTTTGGCATTAATGAAATCGTAGTCTGGATAAAAAGTTGCATTTAAAGTTGCTATTAAGTAAAACAAAGTTTTCTGGTTTATGGTATCACATAAAGGACTTTCATCTTCTCCAGACATACTTTTACTGCATCCAGGAGAAACTCCCATAACTGTTTGTGGTGGCGAAAGAGCCTGAAGATCATTAGGATTCCCACCTTGTTCGGCTTTAAATTTCTTATACAGTTGTTTGTCATTGCCCGCCATTTTACAAGAGTAACTTTCTATTCTACCAATTATTTTGCAATCACCCGTTTTAATGCATAACGCGCTGTTGAGAGCTTCAAAACGCGTACTTTCTAACAACTTCATAATGTTGCAATTTGTGAAAAAATTTTCAGGGGAAAATATTCGAATAAGAGTATTAGAATTCGAAAGAAAATCTTCGTTTAGTAAAATGGAATATATAATTTTAAGGTCGTATAAAAATTCGATTATTCGTCGAAAAATTAAAACTTTTTTTCTTTTTACAAATTAATTTTTCAAATATTGATAAATATTTGTAGTAAGTTTTTTTTTCACGGTGCATTAATGCATACATTACACACAATTATATTTGATCTGAAAAAATTTTTGTCTTTGTTCACCTATAGAACAAAGGTTGTTTACAAACAAAAAGAAATTATCGTAATTTTAATATGCACTTAAAATAAAAACTAGATCTTATTAAAACTTTTTATTTTAACAAAAACGAAACCCACGTAAATACGTTGAAAAACGTATATAATTTAAATAAAATAATAGATATTACGGAAAAAGAAAAAAATCTTTTTTTTTTTTTTTTTTTTTGTTAAACTGACATTGACAAGAGAAATTCACTGCGATGAAACACCAGTGATAAAAATAGTTACACATTTGCTACTTGCAATTTTTGCTACGGTTAATATCGTAAAAAATCAAATCAAATATATTTTTGTATAATACATTGAAATTTGGAAAAATTTCATTATAATAGTACTATGCGTCAATGAATTATATTTTTTAGAATTAAGGTAATCTACTCAAATTAATTTTAATATTAGTTTATATAATTAATCGTTTAATTTTAGTGTAAAGCACGTCAAAAATATTTCATCGTAATTTCATTTTCGAAATTAGTGTTAATAATATGTTCTATTTTTTTCCTTTTTCTTTTACAGTTATAAAGGTTTTCAAGTATGATGTTTTTCGCTTCTAAAACTGGTTTTAAAATTACCAAAGCCCTAACAAAAAATTTATGCTTTATACAAAAAGCAAATATTACAGGCAGGGGTACGAGAGGTGGCCCCTTGGAACTGTTAAAACCATTTCCCTACGAAGATAGACCATTTACTCTTTTCGATTCATTTTTTGACAACACTATGTACAGAGTATGTCAAGAAAATGCTAAAATTATTGTCGTCGAAGGACCTATTGCTTGTGGTAAATCTGCATTTGCCCAAGAATTGGCAGAACAGCTGGATATGAAATACATACCCCAACCTACGATGGATGATTATTATATATTATATAGTGGTTATGATTTAAGGCAGCATGATGATGAATTGCCATCGATTGTTCGCAGTTTTGATCATAGGAAATTTTGTGTGAATCCTACAGATCCCAAGAGTTGTATTTATCAAATAAACATGATGTTTTTAAGATTTTTTCAATATGTCGACGCTTTAGCACACTTATTGAATACCGGACAAGGAGTAATTCTCGAAAGAAGTTTTTACAGTGACTATGTATTTGCGAAAGCAATGTTTGAAAATAAATACATCAGCAAAGAAGGTAATAAAAAAATCATTTGATAATATTTAAAATTAAAATTAAACAGTTTTCACCAAGTAATCAAATTGAAAAAAAAAAAAAAAAACTAAATATTATAAAATTAATAAAATGTAATTTGTTTTCCCAACAGCTTATGCAGCATACATGGATGCAAATCTGTATGCGAGTACTTTTTTTAAAAAGCCACATTTAATCATTTACCTGGATATACCGATTCCAGTCGTACAAGAAAGAATATGCACAAGAAATTATTCTTATGAACAAAATTCTCCAGCTCTTACACCTGAATATTTACAATCACTTGAAAATATATGGAAATTGGATTATTTAAAGAATTCAATGTGAGTCGAAAAACAAATTTTTTTAATAATAATGATAATCTGGAAATTAACAAATTCTTTTTTTGTTAAACATTAAAAATTTTGTTTTTGTTTTAGTCGTCGCTCTGAAATTTTAGTCTATGATTGGTCAGATGGTGGAGATGTTGAATTAATTGTCGATGATATAGAAAAATTAAATTTTAGCCTTTTTAGAAGAGATGAAAAATTTATTCATTGGCAATTAAATAGAAGGGGTTGGGGTTATTACAGACGATGGTTAGTTTCTTCTTTTTGTTTACATCAATCAATCACCAACTTTAAATTATTATAATATCCATTTTTTTGATTTTTAAGGCTCACTAATGGGAAAACTACGTTTAAAAAATATTTCAACGCTCCTTATTATGTTATACCGGAATTGGAAAAATATCAACCGTACGTTTATAAGAAAAGAGATGACCTTTTCCATAAGGTTACGTATATTTATTTTTATTTTTTTTTCAAGTTGGAAAATTTATTAACCTATTAATAAAGGATTTATAACCGAAAATTTAATAAAAATTTTATCACTTTTTTTTAATTTTAGCTTCCCGAATGCCAATACGATATCGGATACAATCCACTCATGGGTGACAGTATTTTTAAAATATTATTTTCCTTTGATAGAGTCAAACACAGAGCTAGTAGAGACAATTTATTTTGGTTCGTATTATTATTATTATTATTATTATTAATTTAAAAATTAACCTTTATCCTTTTGAAAATAAATCCTATTCTATTCTTTAATTTTTTTTTTTTTTTTTTTTTTTCAGGGATGTCGGTATGGGACACGATCCGTATCAACATTAAAATCGTATCGAATTAACGATTAGAAAATAATAATAATAATAATAATAATAATAATATCAATTGTTTTATAGAATGTAAAATCATGTGATAAATTCCTATATATATATATATACATATAT